GGATATTCTCATTTAATATTTTGACTTAGGTATTTGAATTTTACATCTTCTCTTATTTTCTAGGCAAAAGGAACAATGAAAACAAAAGGAAGGTAAAGCAATGAGATAATCTGTGGATATTTTAAAATTTTTGTAGCTGGTATTATTTATTAAATAAACCCCTTCAGGTGGCTGGTATGTCGGCTGATAATGTCCATGGCTGAGAGATTGTCNACGCATCTTGAAAACCCTTGAAAACCCTTGAATTTCAGGAGGCCGATTTCAAGGCCTTGAAAGTACTTGAATTTCGTTTTGGGTCCTTGAAAGTCCTTGATTTTTTATTGAACAACATCGAAAAATATCTGCTTTTGTTTTGCACCATCGGTAAACCCAAAACATAGATGTTAACAGAAACATTTTTCTTGGTTTTGAGGTAAAATTGTCATTACATAAAGTCCTTGAAATTTCTAAGTAGGGTCCTGGAAAGTCCTTGAATCTTTGGCCTGAAAAAGTGTACGAACCCTGCTTTAAATAACAATGGAACTCCTTTCTTTAGAGCATAGTCAGGTAAGCCTTATATTGGGTGATACTGGTGCCAAAGGTATGCTGTGATGGATTAGTGCACAATCAAACAATCCAAGGGTATAGATGCAATATTCCATTCCTCAAGATTGTACCAAAGATCATATTTTTAAGACATCTGTGCCATTTTCTGGTCACTCTTGAAGAGTTCTCTATAGATTGTTCAACTGGCAGCCTTAAAAACAAAAAGAACAGCTTTAACCTCTCAGAGTAACCAGCATCAAATTTCTCCAGACAGTAATACTCTTAAGTAATTTACTACGATCATGAGAATAAAGGAAATGATTTCCAACCTAAGAAGCTGTGATTGTTAAACAAACTCTCCTTGTCAGTACCAAAAGAAATGTATAGAGAAGACTATAGAGAGTGTGGACACTGACGTTAGAGTGTAAAGAGGTTATTTCAGATCAAGAGTGGCATTTAATTACTTTGTTTAATTAACTTAAAGGAAGCTGGTGCTTTAGAAAGAAGTAGCTGATGGAAAGACAGGCCACCAGAGTGCTTCTGGAGAACACTGCTCTTGAGCCACAGTACATTACATCAAGAATGCCCAAATTAGTTTTTCCACCTGTGAAATATGTCCACTAGTTTTACACTAGATTTTGTCCTGGATGCACTAAGGACTAGTTAGTTCTCATTGGTTCTGTCATCTGGGAAAATTTTTTACCAAGAGGTATTGTACATCTTGTGTTACGTTATCCTATCATTTACATTTTAGGGAGATGAACCTGCCGAATTTTGGAGAATCCTTGGTGGTCGTCCATCAGGTGCCATCACGGTAAGTGACACGGGTGCCTGTCACAATTATAATAACAGCAATGATAATTATCACCATTATTATGTGGCAAGGTAGTCTTAAGGTAAATCTGAGTGTTCTGATTGGTTCTTACTCAGTAGGATTTTGCCATGGCAACCATTTCCAGGAAAGGGTTATGAGCTATGTATTTTTTCTTGCAAAAGCCGCAAATTCAAACTAGACATTCAAGTTTTGGCTTAGTGCCATATAATAAACTACTTAATAACCTGGCCTGCTCAAGCTGTACTGGGGAATATTGACCTTTGGTCATTTTTGTGTGGACCTCACTGCACTCAGTCCATACTGCTATGACCTTGGGTGGATCTTCTCCAGTGCAGCGCTCACACTCAATTAATAAAAAGTTAATAATACTTGTTCCACAAATGAAATAGTCAGAATTTAGTGTTAAGATATTACCTACACGAGATGGACAAACAAGCTAAATCTTTTACATGAGCATTCAAAATCAGTTGAAATTATCTGTTCAGGAAGTTAACACTTTTAAAAGAGGGTTTTAAGCCTATTTGATCTGTCCAAAATGCTGTCTTAATTCATGATAATAAAAATAGTTACCTATTCACCATCGTCCACTTACCCTTGCAATTTTATATTGGATATTTTTTTTAGGAAAGACCAGAATATAATGAACCACCTCCCGTACCCATTCTGTACCAAGTGGCATTAGGACTGGGCTACTTGGAGCTTCCACAAGGTATTTTAATAATATCTTGATGACTATTTTAGTGGTAATTTCTGACATGTGAGAAGCACAGTGGCCTAACGATTAGTGAGTTGGACTCCAAGGCCCAGTTGTATGATGGGAGGATAGCCAATAAAATAAATCACTATCCAGCAGATATGTGATAGCAAAATGTACTGCCCTATCCTTTGCATACAGATTTATCCAGTGGACAGCATTATTTTCCCTTCGAACAACTGGGGCCAGGTTGAGAGATCCAGGTTCAAGATTTGGTTGGGTGGAAGTGTTATGTTTTTGAATGAGCAAAACACTTCGCTTTCACAGTGCTTATATATTTTTGTCTTCACCCAGGGCCCAGTTGTTGAAAGGCCGATTATCGCTAACCCAGGGTTAAAATTAATTTGAGTCAGGGTTTCTTTAGTCCTTTGTTCTTGAGCCTTTTTTGGGGTTATTTCTGTATTCTTTTTAGAGCATCCAATTGTCAAATTATAGACAAAAAAAACTGTACTGGATTTTCTTTTAAAGCTTTCAGATTGGAAATCCAAATTTACACTAACCTTGGATTATCTTAACCCGGCTTCAAACAACCCAGCCTAGGAGGATGGGTACCAAATACGATGCAAATTGTAAGGGAAGCTTGTGATAGACAGGCATCTCATCTGGGTGGGATGAGTAATATACTCCTAGTGGCTTCATTGCATGGAAACCGGACAAGCCCCACCTGGATGTGCCGCTTGGCTCACCTACCTACTTTCTGACGTGACAATCAGATATAGCATATCTGTGCTTGTTAATTAACACCAACTGATGGTTATTGACATCTAATGTATGTGCTTAGGACACAATAGGCAGTAATGCCAATCATGCAGTTTTTCTCGCAAATTTTTATCTTACACTTTCAGTGGATACTAATGGTGGAAAATTGAGCACAAAAATGCTTGAAAATAAGAATGTGTATATTTTGGATTGTCATTCTGAGATTTTTGTTTGGTAAGTTATGGTTTCTATATACTTTGGCCTTAAATGTTCCTGACTGCTTGTTTTAATGTTTAGTCAGTCTTTAAATAGGTGATACTTAATAAAAAGAAAATACATATTTTCCATCATTTATATTTTTCAATGTTACCCTTGGTTTAATTTGAACAGTTGTGTTTTTGTTTTCTACAAACTTGTCTACTTTTACCCTTGCATGAAAGAAACAACTAGGAAGCTAAAATTTAGCCGCAAAGTACCAAAGTACCAGATATTTCTAACTGATTATTTTTATTTTTGCAGGATTGGTCGTAAATCAGCTCGTCTTGTACGTGCTGCAGCAATGAAGCTCTCTCAGGAGCTTTACACTATGATTGACCGTCCACAATTCACAGTTCAGATACGTAACCTTCAGGGGTAAGCAGAAGCTAGGTAGCTACAGTCAGCAACAAAATTATTGGTAGATTAATTTATCCCTTGTACCCTAAATTTCAACTCCTCTCTCTTCTCGGCACTTTTTTTCTCTCACTGTACAACATTGATTGAGGAAAGGAAGCTGGTACTGCAGCAAGCTGCACTTCAATTTCATTTTCATTTTGAAAGGGTTACTTACCTGTAGATTTTGTGTCAGCTAATTTTGTTGCTGATTGTAGATACATGTATCAATAATGGGTGTTCATGATCAGTAAAACTCCAAAGTTAATAGTAGGGTCTTCTACACCTTGGCACACAGTCTGTTGTAAGATGTTTTATTCTATAGCTGTTATTCTAGAATTGCATGGGCATTGTTTGTTATTTTTCAGTTACCACCATGTTAACTATCTCTTTCTGGTTCACTTCAATTGAAGAATTTTTAAAACTTTTCCTGTCTTATTTTAGGGCTGAATCCCAAATGTTTAAAGCTCGCTTTATTGGATGGGATGATGTGCTTGCAGTGGATTATACTCTCAGTGCTGATTATGTCGCAAAGGCCTCAAAACAGCTGGGAGTCACTGTAAGTCACTTATAAGTAACATGAAAATTTTGCTGTTCTGTTACAATACATGGAAACTCAACTACTTCATTTTGTTTGTCATTTTAAAGTGGAATGGATAATTATTTTTAAGGGTGGGCAAGATCTGGAAAACAAATCGTCCTCTTACTCTCAACCATATGGGAAGGTTTTTCATAATTAAAAGGTTGTTCATGATGAGTAATAATACAAGTTTGTTTAAAATTTTCTTTGACCAGAACATAACTACAAAGGAAGCACAGGCTAAACTCCAGAAGGTTGCAAAGGTAAAGTTGATGGAAGCATGATTATTATTTTAGTTGTCACTATGTGTGTTGCTGGATACATTACTTTGCTGTTGAGGAAGCATCATTCATTTTTGTCTCAATCAAAATGAAACCCATTTTCTGTTTAGGGTAAGCTTCATGCTGTTTGATCACAACAGCACTCTGACTCACCACAGTTTTCTCCAGTTGTAGGGCTTCTCTACAACTGAAATTTTATCAAGTGTAAGTCTGAAGATTGACTCTGGGTGTAACTCTGTGCTCTGGTGATCACTTCAATAGCTGCAGCTGTTTTATGATATCTGTTTTTCCGTGCCTTTGTTTATTTTCATCCACCAGGTTGATCTGTCTGCCTTGTTCACTACTCGCCAACAGCCCATCCCTAATAATGAGCAGGTACGACAAGTAGCAATTATTCTGAAACTGAAAATAAAGTCTGCACTTGGGTCAAAGAGATCAAGTGGCCCATAGAGTACCAAGGGTCTCTGTAGCATAAACCAACTAGGAGTGTTGCCGATACAATGTAAAGAAAATTAAAAAAAATTGATAAAAACCACTTATTTAAATACAAAAAAAAAAAAAAGATCACATAACAATGCAGAGTCCAGCTTGCAAAACAGAGGTAGCAATTATTCTGACTGATAAACTGAGTTTATATATGAGAATTCATCAACACTCCCATCATTGTATCCTTATTCATTTAAGGTAAGTCATAAATTGTTAATGCTTGGAAAGTTAGACTGATTATTTTTTGGGGTCAGTGCTATTTTTTCACACAATACATCTGAAAGGGGATTGCATATTGATGGCATGAGCCCTTGGCTTTATCAAAACTATTTTTTTGTTCTGGAAGGAACAATATGTGGAAGAATGGAATGAAGACCTAGATGGTATGGAGTGGTTTGTTCTGGAAGGGAGAAAATTTGTCCGTCTTCCTGAAGAAGAAATAGGTGAGCTCTTTTGCTGACTTAAGGGAAGACCAGAAATATTAAAAGCATGTTCGACCACCAGGTTACCTAATAACATATAACCTTACATTTCTGTTTTACTGATTGTTTCTGTTCATCATGAGGTATCTACTGTGAAACAAGAATTTAACAAAATAAATATTTGTGGTATTTGCATCTGATGCCATTGTTTCTGATACCTAACACCTTTCCATTTGAAAAATCCCACATTTACAACATTTTGGTTTTCATGTCATTATTCTGTTAGGACATTTTCACACTGGAGACTGCTATGTGTTCTTGTGTCGTTACTGGGTGCCAGTTGAACAGCCCGAGGGAGAGGAGGATGACGATGAACCAGTGGAACAAGAGGAAGACTTTCAATGTGTTGTGTACTTCTGGCAGGTTATTACTGATTATATGTTTTATTTAACAAATAGATTCCATGGTGTGGTGTGTTTGTATACTTAGGTAATCACATGATTTCGAGTGCAATTTGGAATAAATAAGCACAAGTAAAGTTTTTCAAAGACTAACAAAATTGCATGAGCCCGTAGGGCGAGTGCAATTTGTGGTCTTTGAAAAAATTTACAAGTGCTTATTTATTCCAAATTGCACGAAAAAATCATGTGATTATGTATTAATAATATACATGAAAAAAATACGAGGTAGCTTGTCATAACTACGCAGAAGAAAAGCGTGCACATCACCGGCAAAAATAATTTATTCAAACCCTGCAAGTGACATTGACCATGACATTGACCAATCATTCTAACCAATCAGAATGTCCGGTTTGTTTCTTTCTTTGCACTGAATTAACCCTCTTCTGCACTGAATCAACTCTCTTCTGCACTGAATTAACTGAAAACTGCATTCATCTTAACCAGTCAGAACTGAGAAATTTTTTCATGTATATTATTAGTTCAGGAAAAAATCACAGATGATGTCAAAATGTGATAAGAACAAGAAAAGTGTCACATGAGCGTCAACCAAGTGTGTCACTGATGTCAGGGCTTGACACTAACAGTGGCCAACTAGCCACAGATTTGTAGAAATTCAGTTTTGGCTAGTGGCTTTCAATTTCCACAAGCGAGTTTGGCTAGTAAACAAACTGAAATTGTCATAATGTCTAAGATGTCACTAGCTACTTGGCTAGTAAGTTGAAAAGTTAGTGTTGAGCCCTGGAGGTTCTTACCACATGTGGATGTTGTCTGTGATCTATCACTATGCAGACACACGGCAACATTTTTTATGTAATAAAGAAGCAAAAGCAATGAGTCTGTCCACCAATAAATCATAAGTAAGAGCCAAGTCACAATGTGTTGATAATTCAGGTTATCATCTAATTCTAGTCTGTTCATTTACTGACTGATTGTTATACAAAAAAAGTGTCCTCTCCTCAAATTTTGGTCTTTCATCTTTGTTGCTAAAGATTCAGCCACAATGTGTATGTTCCCATTATGGAGTTAAATTACTATCTTTAGTTACAAGTTTTAGTGAAAGAATTTGTCCCTCATGCACCATTCACTTACCTGTTTGTACTCAATTTTGATTTAACAGGGAAGGGATGCAAATCAGATGGGTTGGCTGACATTTACTTTCAGGTAGCACTTCTTACAGAAACACGTGCTTGATTTAATTTACTTAATTTATTTATTATTTGTTATGCCAGTAGGTTATCAAATTGTAATTTATTTACAATCAGCAGTCACTGTGTTAATTTGAAGTTGATGTCTTCACAATTTAATTAATGGAATGAAACTGGACACTAATGCTAACACTACGGTGCAAATAAATTTCACTTTTCCAGTCTTCAGAAGAAATTTGAGATGTTATTTGGTGAAAAACTAGAAGTAGTGAAGACACAGCAGGTATAGTGTATTCTAAAACAAAAAAAATAATCAGTGTTGATCAGATTTTTGTTATTGTAATGACTGCATGGCCAACCAACCAGCTGCTCAACAGTTTTCAGTATCTGTGCTTTTGTTTATTGATTCAGCAACAAGAAGCCCCAAGATTTTTAGCTCATTTCAAAGGAAAGTTCATCATTCATAAGGTAAAAATGTGAATTATGCCCCAAGTAGGGAAAATATTTCTTCATTTTGATTATTTTTTATTAAAACCAGAAATCAAATGATAGAATCATGTGGTCATAACCCTTTACACGCCAACATCAGTATGCATATTCCCCATACAGTTCTTTATAAAATTCCTAAGGTGCTTACAAGGAGAATTTATTTAACAATCAAAAGCTTCTTTTTATGGTGATCATTTGCTTTATTTTTGTGACCTTAATGTGTGATTCAGGGGTAGATTTTATTGACCTAGCCATTCATTTATAGGGACATTTTTTCCATCATTGTTGCTGTTCCTAAAGCTCTGTTTTGAAAGAGGAATACATTTGTCATTTTTTAATCTTTTCTATCAATAGGGAAAACGCAAGGAGCCAGTTAAACCAGAAGAAAAGAATAAGGCTCAGTTCTACCATATCCGCTCCAGTGGTGGCATTCTGGCCAAGAGAGTGATTCAGGTACAGTAAGAGAATCACAGAAGTGAATTAACATTTAAAAAATTTTAAAAAAAATGCCTTATATTTTACTTTGGAGTTGTCAGTGATAGCATTACTGATAAAGTGAGATTTCCCCTTAACTCTTAAAAAAAGTAAATCTAGGTTATTTTGCTTATCAGATATATGTAATTTGAATCCTAATTTAACAGATGTAATGTCCATTACTTTAGGTAAGATTTATATCTAGGTACAGTGTGTGGTGATTGGTACCTTCTTTGACTTCTTCAGGGGCTTAGTGAGGAATTTCAAGGGAAGGGGGTCACACAATTTGAAACTTAGGGTACCTACCATGTAGACAATCTTTTTTCAGTTTCCTTTGTGACATCTTGTGATATAAGTACCGAGTGATGCTTACTGTGTGAATACATTGCATTTGGCCTTTCTACTAGGGTTTATAACTTGTTGACTTGAGCAAAAAATCTTACAGAGGAGGGAAGGGGGGAAGAGTTGTGGGTCACAGGCCCCCAGGGACTCCCCTCCCACCCCACCCTAGCTACTTTCCTTCTTTTTTAGTCCAATTGGGAGTCAAGCACTATCAAAATCCTTCCTTAGCCTTTCGTTGACTAAAGGTTTATTTACACTGTGGTATCTTACAAAATCAGAGCTTTGTGTATCTTGTTTAACATGATGGTTGTTAATTTGATTATTTATTTCCAGATTGAAACTGATGCTAGACATCTGAACTCTGAATTCTGGTGAGCTTCATCTTTGAATTTTCCAGTATGAAGTGGTAAGCTGTGGTGACTGGAGTTACTGCAGCTCACTAGAGCACTGCAGGGCTATTTTATCCAGAAGTTACAATATCAGTGCTTGGTATAAGGCTTGTGAAGACTTAAACTCTAACTTTGGAAAGGAAGCAAATAAAAAAAAAATGATATAAAAGAATATTTTACCACAATTAACAGAAATGTCACAATCTGATCAGCCAATTTGCTGTTGTCTATGAGAGTTCAGACAACCCTTCTTGCATCATCGTGTCATGCAATGTGTCTTGCACTGAAAGAATCATTTTATTTGACATCGATATTGTGGTAAAAAACAAATCGACAGTGGTCTAGCATGGTTTGTACTCCTATTAACAATAATATTGTCATCATAGTGGTCATATTTTGACCACTGTGATAATGAAAATTGTTGTTGATAGGAGTACAGACCACGCTAAACCTCAGTCAATTTGTTAAAGTGATTCTGCAGTTACAAAAATAAATTCTCGATTAATTTATGTATATCATATTTTCCAGCTACATCTTGAAAGTTCCATTTGAAAATTACTCTGAAGATGGAATCATTTATGTATGGATTGGCAGGTATTTCTCTCCAACCTTGTGCTGGATGATTTGTTTCCACTGTTGTTCACTTTTGAAATTGAACTGATTGTTTTCTTTAAACAAACAGCAAAGTCACAGAAAGTGAAGCTGATCATGCCAAGGAACTCGGAAACGAAATCTGGGATGTAAGTCTGAACACCTCTCTAATTTAGATCTTATTTTAGTACTCAAGTGGAAGAGGGTTTTAATTGAGAGCTTTTTGTCATGGTGACTTGTCAGTGTTACCAATCTTTACCCTAACAAATAGATTACCCATGGTGGTCCACGTTAAATTTGTTGGTGTTTGGTTACATCTGTCTTCTCTATTTTAATTTTCTCATGTGGATATTAGAGTGGCTACACAGTTCAAATTGTTAATGAAGGAAATGAACCAGAGAACTTCTTCTGGGTGGGTCTTGGAGGAAAGAAAGACTATGATAAGGTATGTGTTTCTCTACTTAAAACTTTGTTTGTTTTAAGAGGGACTTTATCTTTATGAAGAAGCTGAGTTGGGGTAATTTTGAAAATATCTTGGTTATTTAATGGTACCACAGTGTAGCAAGGCAACAAAAACTTGTATCAAAAAGAATTTATGGACACTTTAGTTATGGAAAGTGGATTTCAGGTTAGCAAATTTGTTCTAATTTTATGATCAAGCAGTAGCTTTGAGCTTCCCAAGAATCAAATAGGATATATAATTTTTTACTGATATTTGTGGATAACTTTTTGTGTCCAGGAGTTAGTTTTAGGTTTCCTCCCCCTTCCCATGGGGTCCTATGTTACAGTTAGGGATCTTGTGTCATTTTTTCTCTGCTTGTATCTTTGCAGTCTGCAGAATACATCAACTATGCTCGTTTGTTCCGCTGCTCTAATGAGAAGGGGTACTTTTCAGTCTCTGAAAAGTGTTCTGATTTTTGTCAGGTGAGACTGTAAGTGGAAGTTTACTAGACTTAAGGGCTGCAAAAAGAAGACAAAATATAGAATTTCCTAAAGCTCTTTCATGTTAAGGAGAAGAATAGTGTTTACTTGTTTTACCAGATGTATACGAATAAAGATTTTATTGTTATTATTATTTTTATTAAAGAAACTACAGATAAAAAATTAACAGAAATAATAGAATTACCATTTCTAAACCCATCATTACCTCCTTTGTTTTTTGTTTGCTTTATTTCTGGTTAGGATGACCTGGCAAGTGAAGATGTCATGATTCTTGACACTGGACATGAGGTATTGATGGCAGTAATTGCCAGTTTTCTGCAGTTTAAAATTCAATTGATTAAGTTCTGTTTTTGTCTTAAAATTGATGATCAGAGCTGTGTTGTCATGGTGATGGATGGACCAGTTATCGTTAGTCAATACCCAAACTGTTAAATTGTGTGAAGTTTATCTATTTTCCAAGAAAGTAGATACAGTAAACTTCTAGCCATGTTGCAGACAAACTTTAACCCCTTTTCATTCTTCAGGTATATGTTTGGATGGGACCTCAGTCCAGTGATGTCGAAAGGAAAATGGCCATCAAAAGTACACAGGTATTTTAAGTTAACACTGTCATTACTCACACTGATGAAGGGCTATTGCTTGGAAATCAGCTCTGAAAACTCTTTACAGTGGCCAATTAATGTTATTAGCTCATTTGATCGTACCAAACAATCTTGTAATCCACCAACTGATGCTGCACCACAGTTTCTCTATTCTAATATTAGTGTATTCTGTTTGAGGTCTTTATAAAATAAATCTGAAACATGAAGCTTGCCCTCACATAAAAGGTGGGTGGGGGGAGAGGTGGAGTCACAGAGGTACGGGGTTACAGGCACATAAAGCTGAGATTAGGTGTGCTTGTAAGCGACTTTAGTATTGCCATGGACACTTCCTGCATCTGAGAAAACACCTGGATTTGTTTAGTGATGGTTTGGTCTCAGTGTTTGATGCCATTTTCATTTATGTTTCATTCATGAAACAGAGGGTTTTCTAAAAGTAAGGAAATAATTGCAAGCCACCTCAAGCTGGTCTGTTATTGCCTTTGTTAGGTTTATATTCAGCATCTTATGCAGCTTGACAGTGGTCCCATCAGGAAGCTGCGCTGCACCTTCAGAGGGAAAGAACCACACCACTTCACCAGATGCTTCCATGGTTGGGGCCAGTTTCATGATCCAAAAATGTAAAATTTTGCAATTTAGTTGCCTTGTGCCACAGGGAAAGGACTTCGACAATTAAGCCATCTTTGGACACAATGGATTTGTCTCTTACACTTTTTCCTGTGAAGAAAAATTGTCTAGTATGGAAAGTTTGTGGACAGGAATCAACGTTAAACAGCGGTAGGAATGCTTAGATTCTGCAAGCAACATTCTTCACCTTTGGACAATGTGGTGCTGAATACCATTCTGCAGGATCAATAATCATTAAAAAACAAATGTGCAGCCAAGAGTCAGCAAAATGTGGAGAAATGCTGGTGGTAATTTGGGAGGTACTTGTCAACAGTACTTTCAAATCCAGTTGACTTGGCATCATATTTACACTGGCAAGAACAAGTTCTTTCAGTTTTGCCAAACCTGATAACTAGAAAGTACTTCAAGTGTCAAAATGATTATTTAAAACTCCTCAACTTGAAACATGTTTCTACCATTAATTTCTTTTAAAAAACAAACAGTTTTGTATTGATTATCATAAAGTAAGAAATGACTTTCATTAAATTGATCTTTATTGATAACAAAATGAAGTTACTTTTGTTGAGAAGGTTAATAAACCTTCTATGTAGAGATTTACTAACAAGCATGTAGATATTTCTATGACAGTGTAATAAATTGAACGTAGAAAGTTAGGAGCCTCTGAAGCTGTATAAATAGAAAAACTTCAAAGGATCTCTTTGGTCTATTGTATATAAGTATGATTTATTTTGTTGCTACACACAATTATTTTTGCTGTTTTGTATTTATTCACATGCACATGATTTATGACAGAATATTTTAACCTATAAAAATAATACAACTCAATCCCATTAATCAGCCAGGTTTTTTAAAATTTCCTCACAGCCTGACGCCAAACCTATCATACTGCCAAACTTGTCAGTACTAGTAATTACAAACAAATTAAAAATGATAAAATTACTTTACAATTCCAAGCCATTTATCCACTGATTGTGCAATAATCCATGACAAATACAACACCAATTGTTTTTAAAGTTAAATATAGTTGTAATTTTTGGTGGGATGTACCACAAATTAATACTGTAACAGTCTTTTATTATGCCCTTAGTTTAATAAACTACTTCCTAGGTTTCATATGTATTACCGCATCTTCTACAATAAGTAGTTTGTGGCAACTGCTTTGGATATCAGAAATGTCTGTGAACCTCGTACTGGCCAAGTTCAAGGTC